CCTCTCTAATAAGTCATTCCCATTAGCATGCAAACGTGTTGTTATTTCCACCACTTTCTACTACCTGCTACAACCCCCTTTCCTTCCACCCTTTTGGAGCAGGATTATTAACAACATTTCCTGCACTAGCATTTACAAAATCATTTCTTGCCACTTTCTTGTCAACCATCCCAGGCAGGCTTCCCCCTCCATCATACCCCTAAACATGCTATTGTCAGAGTCATCTGACATGACCTCTGCGTTGCCAAGCCCATTGGTCAGTGCTGAAACTGTGTCTTGCTTGGCCTGTCAGTGCATTGGATGTGTCCATTATTCTCTTTTGCTGGATATACTTCCCTTGACTGACTTCTAGAATATGATACTCTTCATTTTCCCCTTCTTCAGTAGTCATTCCTTTTGATGTTTCTTTCCTGGTCCTTCTTTTATAATCCCTAACCTAATTAATACTGAAGTATCCCATGCTTAGGTTTTGGTCCTTTTCTCTACCTACACCACTCCCTCATGAGCACTCTCATGAGTCGCATATCTCCAGTTCAGTAACATTCCTGAACTCCAGATTTACGTATCCCATGGCGTATTTGGCATTTTCCTTGTGCATATCTAATAAGCCTTTCAAACTCAGCATGTCCAGAACTGAAACTCCTGACCTGTCCCCTCTCCTCAAGGCATCAGCTCTGTCCAAGGCTTGCTTGTTTCAGTTGATGGCAGCTCCATCATCTCCGGTGTTCAGAGGAAAAGACTCAGAGTCATTCTCATTCTCTTGTTTCCTCCTGTACCCTACAATCTGTCAGGAAATTCTACTAGTCCTGTCGTAAAAAATGTTTCCAGACTCTAACCACGTGTCTCTACCTCCACTGCCACCCAAAGCAGATTCAGGTCCTCCTCTCCTCCACCTTTCTGACCTCATCTCAGACTACTCTTGCCCTTGCTCACTCCACTGGCTTCTTTTCTGTCCGTTAGACTCATAGCCACACAGTTGCCTCTGCGCTATCTATTCCCTCTGCTTCAAATAGTCTTCACAGAGATACTACCGGGGTTCACACCCTTGCTATCTTCACCTTGACCACCCAAAATTTCAACCTCACCCTTCTTTCCTTTTTTTCCTTTCTCCTAGATAATTTTTCACTCTCTAATAAAATACAAAATTATAATAATTTATTTGTGCATTTTCTATATAGTCCATCTTTCTTTCTGAAATCAAAATTGTGTTCTGCCATCATTGATGTACTCCAAGGTCATAAAAAATGCCTAGCCTGTAGTAAATGTTCAGTGAATAGTTACTAGATGAATCAAGGAAAGTGATGCTGTCTTATAATCTCTATATTCTATTCAGTCTTGTCGTGTCTTTTCTAGTGGTTTGAATGAATGGATGATGTATTTAACCCAATAAACCAATACTTGTAAATCTTTTATTCTTGTATGTTTAATTAATTTTAAATGTGTGATTAGACAAATTAATAAGCAGAATAAAACAAAACATCAAGTATGTCAGATCATCTTTCCTCACTGGGAAGAACTATAATACTGGTATAGAATGTAAGATGTTTACAGTTATTTTCACAAGCATTTATTTGCTTGGGAAATAGCAACGGTGTGAGCCCCAACAGTATCTGAGTGAAGAATGTTTGAAGCAGAAGGAAAAGCTAGAGCAGAGGCAACTGTGTGACTACAAGTCTAAGGGACAGTTTTCACTTCAGAATGAACACTACAGAGATGCCTGGCTGTGTGAACTTGCTCACCTCACGATGTTCTTTCCCTGGGCAGTACCATCCTGCTGCGATTTCAGTGCTGCCGTGAGTCACCAGTCACCCTGCAGTGAGACCTAATCACAAGATTCCAAACAGTTCCTACCCTGTGAGCTCCTTGAGGACAGGGCTGGGATTTAGTCTCTTTTATTTCACGGGCCCAGACTTCTAGGATGGCAGAATGGTTTCCAGTGCCAGGCCCCACCTGGTTGCTCTCCGTGGGCTTACTGCCCAGGGCTGCCTTGGGACTTGGCTCCCTACTTTCTGGTGCAACATTCTTCGGCCACTCCAACTATGGCTTAAGTGGCCCCAGCTACAGCTTGACCCACTGTTTCATGAGATACAGGTGTTAAGCCTTGGTGAAATTCATGTGGTGTTAAGTCTGCAGTCTCACAGAATACAAGAACTCAGGGGGCATGACTTCCTCCACCTTGACTTCAAAAGATGATGCTGACTTCTATGGGACACAGGCAGAGACTTTGCACAGGGGCAGAACCACCACAGAGAACCCCCGACAGGGCAGTGCCTCGTGGAGCCAAGGAAATGGGGTTGCCACCAAAATACCAGAACTATGGTTAACAATGTAGAGTTGCAGTCTGGAAAAGTTTCAGGCATGAGACTCCAACCCATGACAACTGAAGCATAGGCTGAGCCTAGGAAAGCCGTGGGATCTGACCTGCCTAAGGCTTTAGGCGTCCAACCCCCGCTCAGTGCCCAGGATGCAGAGTATGAAGAGAAAGGAAATTATTCTCCAACTTTAAGATTTAATATTTCTCCTTGTTGGGTTTTGGACTTGTTTCAGATGAGTTATCCCACTTTTCTTGCTTATTTCCCCATTTTAGAATGGGAATGTCTATTCTATACCTTCACACATTGTATTTTGGAAGCAGATAACTTACTTTAATTTCACAGGCTCGTGGTTACAGAACATTTGCCTTCAGGATGAAATCTCACCCATATTTGATTTCGATAAGTATTAGCTAGATGACTAGATTAACTAGCTAACTAGATTAACTAGATTTAGATAAGTATTAACTAACAGTATTAACTTTAGAATTAATACTGGAGTGATTTTGAGCCTACTAGGATGGAATGAATATACTTGGCGTTGTATGAAGGGCGTGAATTTAGCAGAGAGGGGAGGCTAGGGGCAGAATGCTATGGTTTGAATGCCTCCACCAAAACTCGTGTTGACATTTAATTGTGATTGTGACAGTGTTAAGAAGTGGGATCTTTAACAGGTAATTAGGTACCTCTTTAGGCACTTTCACTAGACAGGGCCCTCACAAATGGATTAATGCAGTTCCGGAGGGGGTGAGTTTGTTATTGCATGAGTGGGCTCCTTATTAAAGGGTGATTTTGGCTCAGTTTCCTCTCTGTCTTGTGTGCTTGCTTTCACCTTGTACCCTTCCGCCACAGGATGACCTTTAGCAGATGTCAGTGCCATGCTCATGTACTTCCCATCCTGCAGAACTGTGAGCCAAATGAGCTTGTGTCCCTTATGAATTAAGTCTGTGGTGTTCTCTTCTAGCAGCAGAAAATGGATTCAGGCAGCAAGCAGAGCTATAAAATACTTCCTTTTTTTTTGAGATGGAGTTTCACTTTTGTCGCCTAGGCTGTAGTGCAATGGCATGATCTCGCCTCACCACAACCTCCGCCTCCTGGGTTCAAGCAATTCTCCGGCCTCAGCGTCCCGAGTAGCTGAAACTACAGGAATGCACCATCACACCTGGCTAGTTTTATATTTTTTTAGTAGAAATGGGGTTTCTCCATGCTGGTCAGGCTGATCTCGAACTCCAGACGTTAGGCGATCTGCCTGCTTCGGCTTCCCAAAGTGCTGGGATTATAGTCATGAGCCACCACGCCCGGCCAATACTTCTTTTCATCTACACTGGCTTCCAATATCATAATTTGGTTAGATACCTTTGAGGACATTTTCTATTGCATTCCTCCATGTTTGGCAATCACACTCTATTGTGGAGTATTCTGGCTAAACACTTAGTTTTCTTTTACTTATGCCAGCAGGATGTAGTTGAGCAGGGTAGTGAAAATCCATTGTGATATTGTAAAGCCTCACTGCTATAAGAGGCCAGGAATTTACAAAAGTAGCTTAGTAAGGCCTAATTAAAAATTATATCACCTACGGCATTGCTCAATCCCAAGTCAATATTATTGCTTTTTGAAAAATGTGGATTTGAGGATACCACAACTAAAAGGGAGGTAGGGAATGTAAGAGACTTTGGATGAAATTATGAAGATAACTGTAAAGTTCTATAAAAAATTTGAAGCACTGAGATAATATGGACAAAGGGAATAATTATAAAATGAGAGTGATAAGGAAGGTTTGCTTTAAATAAACCAATCAATGAGTGATTTAGATCATGTGTAACAGGAAGATTAGATTTGATACGTTCTTGTGGACAAAAAGGTATTTCTATTGGATACACCTTTATATCTTGCTTAATACTTAAATAAGTGTTAGCTTTTTCTTTCTGTGAGTTATACATAATATATTTTAAAGCAGCCATTTTTATATTTCAGAAACATCTGAAAAGTATAATAATTTAATTATTTGAGTTTATAGAACTTAATTCAGTGAATATTTGTGTCATGGGTTGTGGAAGATTTTGATTTTTTCTGGAAGAAGTCACCACATATATACTATTTTAAAGGGCAGGAAATAGTTGTTTATATTTTTGTATATTTTGGTTATAAACGGCTTTTAATGACATAGAGTTGAATTTAGGAATGTTTAATCTTCACATTCTTCACTTGATTTGAGTGAGAAAAATAAAATTTTCTTGGTTACAAAATTCTCAAATGATTAACAGTGGTTTATTTAAAAGACTGAAGATACATATTCAGTGACTGTAGAAATGACTACTGCTGTTGTAAACTGATTAACAATCAGTACTTCTATAAATCTAAGTCTTTGTTTTTTCTTTTTACTAGTATGACTCTGGAATTTTTCAATTCAGGGACATAATATAATAGAAAAGTTTTGCAAAGGCTTTGTAATTAGACAGACCTGGTCTCAAATGCTGGCTGTCATGTACTTGCTGTGGACCTAGAGCAGCTTACCCAAATGCTACTAACCTCCCTCCATAGGATTATTGTAGAGATTAAAGGTGATGCATCTGTTAAGTAACTAATAGAGTGCTTATTAAAAGGTAGGTGTTCAATAGGTATTAATTCCCTCCCTTTCTTTTTCTCACTAGTCCACTTGTGTTTTTAATGGATCATACTTTACCCTAGATTGTATTGTAGGAAGCATCGTGGATGGATGGCTGCTGGAAACCCCCTGCCATAGCCAACTCTTCTTCAATACTTAAGGATTTACCGTGGCTTTGAGTAATGAGAATTTCGGTAAGAAAAAAAAAAAAAAAGATGAAAATAGCATATGGAATTTCCCTAAAAGGTCATTTGAATCTCAGAGTCTTTGCAATAAGTTACATGGTTATTCTCTAAAGATCTTGGGATATCATAGATGTATGTTCACATTTGGATTGTTCTTATTTTGAAAATAAAATAAATAGATTTTTAAAAACTCTATTGACCATGTTAAGGCTCTTCTTGTCATTATAAATGTGTTATTTCACTTATCCCACTCTTTTGTGTTCTCTAAATGTCTTTGTACACACTAAATTGTGTAGTCTTAGAGGGCAGGGTGTGGTTATCATTCATCTTTTCTGTGTAAACAGAAGGAAGCACGAACAATCAGTGGTTAAGGTGGCAGTTAACACTGCTTTCTGAAACTATAAAAGCTTTGACAACACAAAAGAGGCAGGTGAAAGTACCAAAACTCTGGTAAGTTCTAGGATAAATGATTTTCCTAAATCACCAAGAAAAATTATTAGATAGTCACTCTCGAGATGGAATACAGTATCTGTAGTTGTTTCCATTTTATCCAATTTTTCACCAAATAATATTGATATAATTCATTTTCATAATTTACGTGAGGTTAATATAACTAGTGCATCTCTGTTATTAATGCATGTTATTAACCTGTGCTTTATAAATTATTTTGGCCTGCTAAAACAGAGAGAAGGATGAGGAGGAGGTCAAAGTTAATATAAAAACATTAAGTGGTGACATTGGTGTGTATGTAAATTAACAAATGTGTCAACTTTGTTAAATTATCTTTGACATGCATCTGCAGAAATATCTGTTAAGGAATTTTGTGCATAAGAGACAGAGTTGGAGGTAGGAGAGAAAGCAAAATAAAGATAAATTATAGTTGTATTATTTTTTGATAAGGAGCATTAATTATGAAAATATGAAAAAATTACATCTTTAGACCTAAAAATATGTTGACATGTTATTTTAAACCTCACTTTTTAACCAAAAAATGTAACCATTTGTCTATGATTATATTTTTCAGAAACCACATTTGAGAAGTATTTCCATCCAGTGCTACCTGTGTTTACTTCTAAAGAGTCATTTTCTAACTGAAGCTGGCATTCATGTCTTCATTTTGGGGTAATTTTATCTTTAGGCATAAATAATATTATGTTCATGGTCATGATGACTGTCCTCGGATATCTTTTCCATTAAGTTAGTTTATGTTCAGTCTGCTTATATCTCTAGGTACTCAGTATCTGGGGGATAGAAGGCAGACTATAGAGATTCAGAGGAGGTTGGGTAAACACCTAACTGAGCGTTTTTCTGCATTGTGGTAATAGTACAAATAAGCATTATAGCCCTCAAATAAATTGGGCCTTTTGATATTTAACTGAACTTGGAAATGTACCACTTATTGATAGACTACATATTTTTCACGGCAATTAAAAGTAGATATTTAGAATTTGCTTATGTTACTTCTTATCTGTCCCTGACACTGACTCCTCCTAACCCTTGATCCTTATCCTAGTTCAGTTGAAAACATTTCTTTCTTTATTTAAGCCTTTTGTTGTTTCCTTCTAATAAAATTCATATGTTTCCATGACTATTAACTTTTTTCTTCTCTCTTAGATGCAGCTAATATACCCAGTTGGCCCAAAGCACCTAATCTATAGTTATATAATCTGACTCTCAGTTCAGTTTTACTCTACTAATGCCTTCATGGTATTGGGAACCATAGATTTGTGCAGGTAATTCTTCATCATAAGACAGATTAGTGTTGACTATCATGCTTCTGTGTAAGATCCATCAGGAAGTGAGGGATTATTTTTCCTCAAGCTGTAAGAATCATTCCAATGTTACTTGGTCAGTATAAGTGTATTTTGTCTGGATATTAAATTTTAATTTTTATGAAATTTATGAAAGTGAGTAAGTATATGGTCATTCAGCCTACACTGGGATGAAGTCTGTAATGTTTATGGAGAAAGCTGCTGCAAGCATAGTAAGAGCATGAGCAACATGAAAGAGGCATGTTTAATGTTTTGTAAAAAAACATTTACTGTCAAAATCATTACGTGAAAATAATTATTACTTATTTTAAGAATTTTACCTATTTATTAGACTTCAAAGTCTCAGTAAATCTCTACGTAAAGGAAACTAGTAATTCATTCAAAATCATTTACTGAGCCTTGCCACACATCTGGCACTGTTTCTATTTCATTGTGATAAATTGAGCCAGTTTATTTATAAAGTATGCCTACAATTAGGCTTTTCTCTAATCAGGTTGGTGAAGCCTCAAGTTATCATAAAATGTCAAAGTTGTACTATATGCTTAATGTTTATGTTCAGCTACAAGGCTGTTGAATGCACAGAGGCAAGGATAACACTGATTTTTTTCACTGGTCAGAATAAAAAAATTATTGATTACTCTTTTGCTTATAGTATTCATCAAGATGAATAGGCTCCTTCAAAATGCTTTGCTCATGGTTTTTCTTTCAGCTGTTTCAGTGCAGGGCTCCCTAAAACAGAAGCCAACTGGGTGAATGTAATAAGTGATTTGAAAAAAATTGAAGATCTTATTCAAGTGAGTACTCATTTTTCCATATAATGCCTGGTAGAACTGCTATGGAGTTTGTTTCTCTCTGTGTTTTTCTATCTGTCTTAAAGAAACCACACTTGAAACAATAAGATTTTTGTAGAAATTTATGATCTTATAAAGCTCAAAAAGAAATCTTTTCCTTACTGTTTTATAATCTAATTATCTTTAAATCTTAATTTATAAGCAGCCCAGCCTGATGAGTTCTAGTCTGTACAGGTGAGGTATTATCTTCCTGTATCTGGAGAAGCCAGATATCTTGGTGACACCTGCAGGGAGAATGGTTTGACCCAGAGAAGAGCTGTTGTTGTTTGTGGACTAAAGGCCCTCTTCTCCCACCTTGAGAAAATAGATTGCCTGACCTAAGGAAGTGCTTCCTGCCATAGAAGGTAATATCAGCTTCAGTGGAAGTCTCAATGGCACCAAGCATACCAAAATAGCACCACAAAGTTCTGAAAACTAAATTGTCATTGGATTCACAGCATTAAAAAGTAGGTTAGAACTTGCATGCTAAATCCAAACAGGCTGACTGCATGCTAAAATAGAAGATTTAAATAGGACCAGAGTGTCCTAACATAATAGACATGAAGCCAAGATACAATTGAAAATCACCCATTGTACCAAGAAATAGGAAAGTTACAACTTGAATGAGAAAATATAGTCAACAGATTACAAAATTGAACGGGATCAGATGTTGGAATTCTCTGACATGGATTTGAAAGCAGACATGATATAAAGTGCTTCAAAAACCAATTACAAATGCCCTTGAAACAAATGAAAAACTAAATGCCTTAACAAAGAAATAGAAGATATGAAAGGAACCATATAGAAATTATAGAACTGAAAATACAACTGAAATATAAAGCAAACTGTAAAGGCTCATTAGCAGAATGAATAACAGAGGAATGATAGTTAATTTGACAACAGAATACTAGAGAGACAATTGACTTAAAAAAAAGAAAAAGCATCACTGATCTTGAGAACAGTGACAGAAGATCCAGCATTCCTGTGGTTAGTATCATAGGAGAGTATGAGAATACACCAAGTAAAAGAGAGAGACTGGCTGAGTTGATAACAAAACACCACTCACCTATACTATCTATAAGCAGTTCAGTTCTGGTACAATGACATACATTGGTTGAAATTTTAAAAGACAGAAAAAGATATACCATACTATAATGGGTTGAATAGTGTCCCCCCAAATTTCACATCTACTTGGAACCGTAAAATGTGATCTTATTTCAAAATAATATCTTTGCAAATATAATTAATGAAATTAAGGTGAGATCATACTAGAGTGGGGTGGGCCCTAAATCCAGTGACTAGTGTCTTTATTGGAAAAGGAAAGGACACAGAGGAACTCACTGGGAAGAAAGCTATGTGAAGACATAGAGGAAGAGATCAGAGTGATGCCCCTATAAGCCAAGGAAGGCCAGGGATTGCCAGGATCCACCAGAACCTTGGGAAAGTCAAGAAAGGATTCTTCTCTAGACCCCTCAGAAGGAACATGGCCCTACCAACATCTTGACTTTGGACTTCCGGTCTCCAGAACTGTACATGACTAAATTTCTGTTGTTTTAAACCACCCACCTTGTGGTAGTTTATTACAGCAGCTCTAGACTGATACACATGCATACCTTAATTATAAAAAGCAGAAGTGGCTAGATTAACATCAAATAAAGTAGACTTCACAGAAAATAAGGTTACTAGAATCCAGAGAGACACTACATAATGATAAAAAACAAATCCATGAGGAAAACATAATGTTCTTAAATGTATACACATCAAACGACAAAGCCTCAAACTTTGTGAAGCAAAAAATAATAGGGCTAAAAGAGAAACAGACAAATCCACAATTATTCTTGAGAATTTCACCACCTCCTCCTCTGTAACTAATGGAAGTACTAGACAGAAAATCAGCAAGGGCATAAAAATACAACATAACCAACCAACAGGATCTAATTTAACACATAGACCACTACACCCAACAACAGCAGAATATACTTTCTTTTATCAAGACTGAATATATACTGAGCCAAAAAAGAAACTTTAAAATTTTTTTCAGAACTTAAATCATGCAGAATTTGTTCTCAAACCACAGTGGAATCAAACCAGAAATCAGGAAATTAAATACAATGGGCAAATCTCCAAATGCTTGTAAATTAAATACTATACCTCTGTATAATACATGGGTCAAAGAGTAAATCTCAAAGGATATTCATAATACATACAATGAAAAAAATGAAATGCAGCATATCAAGGTATATGCGATGCAGTTAAAGCAATACTGACAGGGACATTTTTTAAAATCAAATGAATACATGAGAAGAAAAGGAGAATTATCAAATCAAAAATCTATGTTACCACTTCAAGAAACTAGAAGAAGTAGAGCAAAACAAATTCAATACAAGCAGAACAAAGAAAATATTTAAATGTAAGAGCCAAAATTAATGAAATTGAAATCAAGAAAACAATAGAAAAAAGTAATGAAACATAAAACTGGTTATTTGGAAAATCAGTACAATTAATCTTTAATAAGACTGACAGAAATAAAAAGAGAGAAGACACAGATCTCAGGAATGAAATGTGAGGCTGTCACTACAGAATCTGCAGTCATTAGAAGGATAATAAGAAAAACTATGAACAGTTTTATGCTCACGGATCTGACAACTTAGAGGAAACGGACTAGTTCTTCAGAAACCACAAACTACCAAAACATGTGAAGATGAAATGGACAATCCAAGCACTCCTGTAATCACTATATACATTGAATTCATCATACACAAGCTCCCAAAAAGGGATCTCCAAGCCTGCTGGTTACACTGAAACATTCTATCAAATATTTAGAGAAGCACTAACAACAATTGTACAGTTTCTTCTAGAAAATAGAAGAGGAAGGAGCATTTTCCACTTGATTTTAGGAGGGCAGTATTGCTCTGATGCTAAAACCAAATAGAGACATTACTAAAAAAGACAACTACAAACAAAACATGCATTTGCCTTACAGTCCAACAATTGTACTCTTAGACATTCATCCTCAATAAATGAAAACTTATGTGCACACAAAAATATGTACATGAATGTTCATAGAGATTTTTTCGTGACTGCCCAAAACTGGAAACAAATGTGCTTTAGTTGTAAAAACTGTGGCATATCATGTCAGGGAATACTACAGAGTAATAAAAAGGAACAAACTAGTGATACCCACAAGGTGGGTGGATCTCCAGGGTATTATGATGAGTGAAAAAAGCCAATCTTCATAAAGAAACTGGGGTACATTTATAAAACAGAATATTATCCATTGATAAAAAGAAATAAGCTATCAGGCCATGAAAATAAATGGAGAAACCTTCAAAGCCATATTGTTAAGTGAAAGATGGGGATGCCAATCTGAAAAGGCTTCACACTATATGATCCCAACTATGACATTTTGAAAAAGGCAAAGCTATGGAGACAATAAAAAGATCAGTGGTTGCCAGGGGTTCGGAGGGAGGGAGAAATGGCTAGGCAGAGCACAGGCTACTTTTAAAGCAGTGAAAATGTTAATATATGATGATGGGTGGCATTATACATTTGTCAAAACCTGTAGAACATACAACACAAATAATGAGCCCTAATATTCTATATAGCTAAGATCATAATAGTGACTCACCGATTATAACAAACACACCACACTAATGCAAGATATTAACAATAGGGAAACTGGGGTGGAGGACAAAGGGGTGTATAAGTCTTTGTACTTTCTGCTAGTTTTTCTGTAAACCTAAATGACTCAAAAATGTCTATCAATTCTTTTAAAAGCTAATTTCAGAAGGTTATATACGATATGAGTCCCTTTACGTAACATTCTTGAAATGACAAAATTATAGGAATGGAGAGGAGAGAAGTGCTTGCCAGAATTTAGAGAGATTGGGTGATGATGAGGTATGTATAGGGAGAAAGGTGACTTTGGTTATGAAAGAATAGCAGGATAATCCTTGTGGTGATGGAACTATTTTGTGTCTTAACTGTGGTGGTGGTGATGTGAATCTATGCAAGTGATAAAATTCAATAAAACTTCACACATATGCATGCACACACGCTGTGGCACATAAAACTTGTGAAATCTGAACAAGGTGACTGCATTGTATTAACGTCAATTTTCTGATTGTAATTCTGTACTGTGGTTATAGAAGATATTACCACTGGGGGAAGCTTGTTGAAGAGTACACAAGATCTCTCTGTATTTACTCTTACAGTTTCATATGAATTTTAAATTATCTCAAAATAAATAAATGAATTAAAAACAATTTAATGTTTTCAGTAGGTTGTGCTCATAATATTTAAAGCAGGGCATAGTTTTTAATATTGGCTAATTTTGTTTCCTTCCAGTCTATGCATATTGATGCTACTTTATATACAGAAAGTGATGTTCACGTGAGTATACTTTTTTCAAAATTGCTATTTGTCTCGTTATCAAAGTTTTTAAAAGTATATTTTTGTAACAACTAAAATATGTGTAGTTTTAAAATCTAACTTTTGGTGTGTTTCTATAATATATGATGAATGAGTTTTATTAGTGATTGTTGAGATGGGACTTGGGGGCAGATAGCTACATAAACGCTATTTTTGTAATGGTGCCAAATCAAAATATTAAAAAAGTCTTTTCCCTCAATGTCAAACAAGATACATTATACGTTTTTGTGGTGCAGTTGCATCATGATGCAATTAGATGCAAACATCAGATTAACTTATTCAATTTAAGAGTAGCCAACATATCAGTTATTTCCAATGCTGTAATGTATCACCATCTGCAATATTTTCCATAAATTGCTTAAAGTCGTCCATGTTCTGCATTTTACATGGTTCTCTACATTTGTCAGAAAAAGATTCTGACCAATTATTCTTTATGTGACAAAAGAAACATAACCCATGAAACGTACTAGAATTGAAAAGTGATTTTGAACTTGTTTCATTAATACATTGACATTTACTAAGGCATGTAGGATTTGTCATTTTGGTGGTGGTCCTTCCCTTCGGGATTGTTACTAAAACCAAGAAATGAATCCCCAACTTCACTTCAGGGAAAACAAACTCTATGTCCCTCTCCATTATTCTTCAATTGGAACTTCTCTTACATAGATGACTTTCTAAGCATTGGAAAGAAACCATAGCCAGAAACTAGAAAAAAGAGATATTCACCAACCAATTGGGTCATGCTGCTGCCCAAAGAAATTGTCTCCCTCCTCTGGCTTCAGCATGTATTGTTTTTCTCTGCATTTTTTGTAAAATGGAAAGTAGTCAATTAACCACCAAATTCAGCATCCTGAGATTGCTTTTTTGCAATAAGATAACTTTGCAACCCATGGGTTATAGAAACAACCTTAGACTGAAGTTTAGATTTTAAAACTGACTCCACCACTTTTTACTTGTGTTACCTTGGAAATTACTAAACATTTCTGAAGTTCAGTTTTATTATTGCTGATACGGTGACAGTATTTGTCTTTCAATCCTAAGCAGTGACGGTAAGGGTTAAGGAATATTACCAGTGCTGGGCACATGGGTGTATTTCTTCATTTTTTCATCCATTCAGTAAGCATTTGTGGAGTGCCTGCAGGCTCCCAGGCACTGTGCAAGGTATTGAGAACACAAAGTCGAATAATGGTCAAATCCCTAGATATTCCTTGTTTCCTTTCTTTAAGTTCTTGTTAAAGTAAATGTTGTGGAAAACATATTTTTGTGGCACCTAAGAGCCTTTTCTGATTTGGCCAGCCTGTGAGTGGACATTAGTCCTGCTTTGATTTTTCTAATAAATTTCTTGGAATTGCTTCTCTCCCTCTGGAACTTTGGAAATTGAAAGAATAGTATAATTAGCAGCTACCACTATTTAAAGTGTTAACAACATGATTTGATTCTAAAACTTCTTACAAATGCACTGTCTATATTGATATTTTCAGAGTCTAAGGCCAGTATTGTTACCCTTTCCACAGGGGAAATGTGCTCAGTGAGAAAAACTGGCCACTATTTCTACATTTTCTAGTTTCATGTTCTGTACAATATTGCCATCCTTCTTGATTGTGTTTTATTGGTTTGTTTTGGTTTTTATTTTAAAGCCAAAAGAAAAAAAAATTAAACTGCCTCCTATGTAAAATTTCTTAAGGATATTGTGTATCTTTATAAAATATTTGGATTAACTTTTTGAAAATCAAAATTACATCAGTATGAAAATTAATAATCACAAAAAATTAATTGTTCTTTATAACTTTTATTTTTAGCCCAGTTGCAAGGTAACAGCAATGAAGTGCTTTCTCTTGGAGTTGCAAGTTATTTCACATGAGTCCGGAGATACAGATATTCATGATACAGTAGAAAATCTTATCATCCTAGCAAACAACATCTTGTCTTCTAATGGGGTGAGTTTTCCAACAGTTGCTCAGAGTTGCATCTTATGTTTTGGGCCTGATTTGGAGAAGTCATTCATGGACAAGCAGATCCTCCTAAGGGGCACTTAGGAGAAGGAGTCCTTTTCCAGTGGAATGGCATCCAAAAGTGGCACCAACTCCAGCATGCACACAATGCTAAACTGTTTAATGATTTATTCAGTAGACAAACATTTACAGAATCATGCCAGGTAGTGTGCTTCAGTGCTAGAATTATAGTTGCAAACCAGACAGACAGGTCACTGACCTCAAAGTGTTTATTGTCAGGTGCAGTGGATAGACATTAATCTAATTACATATTCAAGTGTCTAACATCAATAATAGTAACTCACATTTATTGAGTTATTACAGTGTGGCAGACACTGTGCTTTGAGCTTTAAATTGTTAATTCATTTAATCCTCATGACAAATCTGTGAGATAGTTATCTTTATTTCTATTTGAATGATGAAGAAATTGTAGCACTGAGAGCTTGGATCACTTGCTCCAGTTTATACAGCTAGTAAAATGAGGAGCCACAATTCTTACCTGAGCAGTCTGTCTGCAGAGTCTGTTATCTTATGAGAAGATAAATGCTTTAAAAGGATAACAATGAAAATATTAATAATTTGAGTATAATCTGGGACATTCCAGGCAACTTGAGCAGTCGAGGGTTCCAGGAGAGCAAATTCTAGGTACTCATATGATAGGCTGGGGCATCAGCTGTGCAAAGGCCCTGAAGTGCAAAGAATTATGACTTTCATGGCAAAACACCAGTGGCCAAAGCAAGGTAGAGAGAAAGCAGTTTTGTAACAAAGAGGCATAATCAAATTAGTTCATTTCATAAATACTTTTTAGCCCTCAGGAGACAGTATGAAAAATACCCATAATCTCTGCTGTTAAAGAGGGAGGAAACAGAAAGAAACCAACCACTCAGCAAATGAGTAATAAGTTAGTTATTTATGAAGTCCAGTGGTGAAAAAGAAGGTAGGGTAGGGGGACTGGGGCTCCAGTTAGGGTAGGTTGAACTAATAAGCTGCCATTTGACAAAGATGTGAGGGAATGAGCCTTAAGGGTATCTAGGGACATATGTTCAGGCAGACACAACTGAAAGTGCAAAGACCCTGAACTTGTGTGGGTGGACACCTTGACTTTTCTCTAAAAATACAATGCTGCTTTATGTCTTTGCTTCAGTGTCACCTTCTCAGTGATTTACCTGTTTACAATTGCAATCCCTTCCCTATTTGAGCACTCCCTGTCCCCTTTTCTGCAGGTCCCATATCTGGAATACGATATATTTTATGTAATGGGTATTGTCTGTTTTTCCCTATGAGAATGTCAGCTTAAAAGGGACAAGTGTTTTTGTTTTTTATTAGTACTATATCCAAATTCCCAGAACAGTGTCTCATATATATTAAATACTTTATATATGTATGAAATGAATTGATTAAGGTTTATAATACTCTTATGATGTTATCTGTATCTTATTGGTGGAGTGAGCCATGCAACAGATAACTCATGGCGAAATAAATGATGAGCTCTTTAATGTGAATGTTGATAGTCACCCTCATCATGGCAGAGTGTGGTATACATGCTGGAATGCGTGGGCAGGACTGCGCAGTCAGAAGACCTGGATGTGAAGAATTTCAGTTGATTATGTCAGTTGAGATGAGTCAATACCTCTGTCTTCCTAGCTGACATGATTATTTTCAGGATCAAATAGGACAGCATTATATGAAACATGACAGTGCTTGGCATAGAGGATGTGCTTGATAAATGTTAGTGATGCTGAATTCCAAATAGTTAATGGATATAAAATCTAATTTTTATTTTTGCTGGCACAGTCTTCATGGGTTCAGATGATCTCTAAAAAGTTTATTCTTAATTGCTACATTTGGAACATTCTAGTTATCCATAAAACTGTGTTTGAATTACAACAATTTGTGGTATTCACCTAAATGGCTCAATTCAACCAGTGGGTGATTACAGTGCATCAGGCCCTGTGCTGAATGCTAGGGAAACAAACGTACCGGCTTTGCCCTTCTGGTAGAGATCTTAGAGAATAGTATTATAGTATACAAAGAGTAAAACTTCATAATATGAATAGAATATATGAGATGTTGTGAGAGAGGTCTAAATAAGAGGTTCTGAGATGTAAAGATGGGACATTGGGTCCAGCCCTGGGAACCCAGGGGTTCAGAGAAGCCCCCCTGAAAGAGTATCTGAATAATCTTCAGTGTGAGTAGCAGCAGCTAAAATACGAAAGAATGTAACAGAGAGAAAAGCAAAGGCAGAGAGGCATCTAATAGTAAGCTGTGCATGGCAAGGAAAGCCAGATGCTCACTCAGTGTTCCTAGAGCATAGCATTGAGGCATGGAGTATATGTGAAATAAATAGGTAAGAAACAGCTCATGAAGAGCCTGTGTGCTATGCAGAGAGGCATGGTCTTTATGCTAGAAGCAGATGATAGGAAACCATTGAAGGGCTCAAAGCAGGAACTCCATGGTCTGACTTATTTTTCTCAATGTCCTTAACCCATTAGTGGAAAAATAAACATATATCAAATCTCCCAGTTCTCTTTTCTCATAATTCTTCCTAGTATGCTATTTATTTGCTAAAGTTTTCATATCTCAAGACCTCACCATATGGTTCAAGCGATATGATATTCCCATTCCCATGAATGTATATTTAATTTAATTATAAATTGCCAATTTAATCTTTCTTTATATTTTGCAGAATATAACAGAATCTGGATGCAAAGAATGTGAGGAACTAGAGGAAAAAAATATTAAAGAATTTTTGCAGAGTTTTGTACATATTGTCCAAATGTTCATCAACACTTCTTGATTGCAGCTGATTCTTTCTAAAGTGTTTCTGTTACTAACGAACATCACTCTGCTGCTTAGACATAACAAAACACTCAGCATTTCAAATGTGCTGTCAAAACAAGTTTTTCTGTCAAGAAGATGATCAGACTTTGGATCAGATGAACTCTTAGAAATGAAGGCAGAAAAATATCATTGAGTAATATAGTGACTATGAACTTCTCTCAGACTTACTTTACTCATTTGTTTTTAATTTATTATGGAAATTGTACATATTTGTGGAATAATGTAAAATGTTGAATAAAAACGTGTGCAAGTGTTGTTATTTGAAGTCGCACTGATATTTTACCTATTATCGCAAAATAGCATTTGTTTAAGGGTCAAATTATGTAGTGGCGGGGATGGGTACCAATGCTGCAGGTCAACAGCTATGTTGGTATGCTCCTGCCGGTGTGGAACCACTGACTACTGGCTCTTATTGACTTCCTTACTAAGCATTGCAAACAGAGGAAGAATTTGCTCTCAATAAGAAAAAGAAGAACTATACGTGAATCCTCTTCTTTACACTGTAATTTAGTTATTGATCTATAAAGCAACTGTTATGAAATAAAGAAATTGCAATAACCGGCATATAATGTCCATCAGTAAATCTTGGTGGTGGTGGCAATAATAAACTTCTACTGATAGGCAGAATGGTGTGCAAGCTTGTCCAACCCATGGATTGCAGGCCATATGCGGCCCAGGACAACTTTGAATGTGGCCCAACACAAATTCATAAATTTCATTTTTAGCTCATCAGCTGTCATTAGTGGTAGTATATTTAAAGTGTAGCCCAAGACAATTCTTCTTATTCCAATGTGGCCCAGGGAAATCAAAAGATTGGATGCACCTGATATAGAAAACTAATAGTGACAGTGTTTATATTTCATGCCTTCCCAAATACAGGTATTTTATTTTCACATTCTTTTTGCCATGTTTGTATAATTTTTAAAAAGCCCTGTTGATTTGTTGGAGCCATTGTTATCTGACAGAAAATAATTGTTTATATTTTTTGGACTACACTGTCTAAAATTAGCAAGCTCTCTTCTAATGGAACTATAATAAAGATGGAATATTTTTGTTTTATTATACATTTATTTCATCTTAATTCAATTCTAGTAATACTCACTGAGTGACTGTGGGATGGGAAATTATCTCTTAAGAATTCGATTTCTCTCCATTCCACAGTAAAAACTGGTTCTCTGTTGAAACATTCTTCTATCACCCCAGTGCCCTCTCCATGTACATGGGTCTTACTGCTCTAGTCCAATGGTGCTTATAAATACCTTCGGAGAAAGTTTAGAAGAAATCTGTATCCTGTTTGACTTTCAATAATCATGTATTGGCTCTCAGCTTCTTACCTAATCTCAGTCTAGAAAAAATAGTATTTGGCAGCCACTCTTAAAAGTCTTGGATTGTGGAAGTTTATTTATTTTTTTATTTCAATTGAGATAATATTTTTAATATACCTGTATTTTTGTTTTGCTTTATGTATCTTTTTTCTATTAGGGAGAGGAGGAAAAGTGTACCATTTTCATCTCTAAGTTTCCAGTTCAGTCTTTAGGGGAATGTTAGTCTTCCTGAGATGGGGGAAGGAAAATCATAATGCCAGTCACGTTACAAATAATATTTTATAGTGATCAATAGTTCATTTTGGTTACATAGGCATACATGTGGGCTTAAAACTTGGAATTCACTAGGGCTCAAAATTAAAATTCTTACATTAGTTACTCGATATGGATCACTTCAGTTGATCTTAGAAAACTCAAAGCATAGATCTGCAACTACTTTAAAATACTATTAGTTAACTGAAGAAACAATATAATATTGTAAAACAATCTAAATTTTATTTTTCATGCTTATATTCTTTACAAAATCAGTCTTTCCTTTGGATTCAAAATCTGCCTGTTTGAACTATCTTCCTTAGTTAACCAACCCAATGTCATGTGCCTAGAGGATACTGTGTTTATGTCTCATTTACTTCCTTAAATGCTGAAAACATCTTCCATATGGAACATATAATAAAGGAAGCACAGAAACATATACTTAGAAACTCAAATAGTAAAGATAAGCATAACAATATGACATACAGTCCAAAGTTATATTGATGAATTTTGTTTTTATCTTTTCTTAATTTCGGGAAAGAAAAAGACATATGAAAGAATATTATCTCTACATTCTCCCTGACAATGAACAAAAGGGCTAGAAGGCAGAGGACATGGAAATGTAAACAGAACCAATATATAATTGTTGAGCCCAGGCCAGGCACGGTGGCTCACACCTGTAATCCCAGCACTTTGGGAGGCCAAGACGGGTGGATCACGAGGTCAGGAGATTGAGATCATCCTGACTGACACAGTGTAACCTCGTCTGTACTAAAAGTACAAAAAACTAGCCAGGTGTGGTGGCGGGGGCCTGTAGTCCCAGCTACTGGGGATGCTGAGGCAGGAGAATGGCATGAACCTGGAAGGCGGAGCTTGCAGTAAGCCGAGATCAGGCCACTGCACTCCAGCCTGGGGGACACAGCGAGACTCCGTCTCAAAATGAAATGAAATGAAATGAAATGAAATGAAATGAAATGAAATGAAATGAAATAAAATAAAATAAAATAATTGCTGAGCCCAGAGAATTTTAAAACTTAATCACAAAGCTAGTATTATATACTCTCATTTTTTTATCTTAGAAGAGTAAGTCACAGAATTACTTTCCTTCTTTTGCTACTGTTGTTGTGAGAGGGGATCACGTGTTTTGATGTGCTACTGTTTATGGCCATCAAATTCAATAACTCATAAGGTCAACCAACATATACAATACGAAAATCAAGTAGTGTGGTTGTTCCCTCCCTTCTCCCCCAACTTAGCACAAAAATACTAGAGAATGCATTTTAGTTCCTTCATCTGTGCTATGACAGGCTTAGCTTAAGCTCTTTGCATTCCTTGTGAGCCATGGTTAATGTATGCATGCCATATATAAATATTTTGCACAGAGAATATCTCATTTCCATAGAGGTTTGGTTCAATGTTTCTGAATGTGTCTAATGGCTGAATTGTGTCCTTAGTAAGAAATTGATTATGCAAGGTAAACTTTAGCTTAATTAAATAGTATCCTAATTGTAATTGTATAATCTATCAGATGACATACAGAAGAAAAATTAATGAATTATTAATAAAGGCTAATTATTTTATTCTATATTTTACTTCTTCAATGCTGTACTTCAAAATGACAATTAGAGGAACTGAAGAGGAAATTGTTAGACAAGTAGAATTGAAAATTCTACATGTAATTTATACAAAGGTGTCAACACTTTCAGAATATTGTCATCAGAGAATCCAGGGTCACCCAACAGGTTATTTGTCTTCATTGTCATCATCACTTTTTTTATTAACAAATTCTCTCCTTTAGTCATACTGAAAGCATCTTTCTTGAAAACCTACTGTATGTGAACATTATGTTAGATGCTACAGTTCTAGCTGTGAATAGAAAGCCATAGTCTCAGCCCTCACAGAGATTTCATTTCAGCAGAAGAGCCATATTATCAAACTAATAACTTGAGAACTTATTCACTTACCATCATTTCTAATGAACACCACCAGAAGAACATATAATGGGAGGATCTGGTTCATTCAAGGAATCAGAATTTCTTTGAGAAAGTGATATCTGAGGTCAACTGTGAATTATGATTAGGACTTATCTGGGGTGAAGCGGGAAGAGTCCATCAGCAAAACAGCCTACCAAAACCTTCCATCAGGAAGGATCATGGCATTTTCATAGAGTGGAAGGAATGACAGTACAGCAAGGCTAAATGAAAGAACTAAAAGAGGAAGCTGATAAGAAAAGTATCAACTGGTTAGGCTCTAGTAAGAATTTGCTATCTGAACAAAAGAAATGAGATTTACTCTGACATGCATAAAACATACAGAATGTATTATTCTACTGTCAAGAAAAGAGGTGAAGTCAAAATTCCCTTACCACTAAATCCCAAGTTAATAAAACAATTTCTAATAACAACATCTTACATGGGCCTCATCATCACACTCATTTAATGAATTATTTTCAACTTAATGGACATAAACTTCAGCAAGTAATTACCTGCTCACTGTCCAAAACAACAAGCCTTTTAGTAGTGTATATAATTTGAGAGGCTGAAGTCAGGACAATTAACATATGAATCCATAATTGGGGAGGAGAGCTGAGGAAGATGATGGAATAGCTCCCTTCAGGGATTGCCTCTGTCCACAGAGGGATCAATTTGAACAACTATCCATACATGAAAGTACCTTCAAAATGGCTAACGAAACCAGGTGAGAGATTACAGTGCCTGATTATAGCATAATAAGAAGAAAAGATGCATCAAAGAGAGTAGAAAGAATGATTTTATATTATTTGCATTACCCACACACCCTCACCAATCCTAGGCACATAGCACAGAGAGATACCATCTGCTTGTGAGAAAGAGAAAGAAACGAGCATATAATTTTTCACTGATACCTAATATCAGAGTCAATCCAAACAAGACTATCCCAATACATACTATAATCAAACTGTTAAAGAGCAAAGACAAAGAGAGGATCCTGAAATCAAGAGAAAAGGAACAAATAACATGTAAAGAAGTTTCAGTACACCTAGCAGCAGACTTCTCAGCATAAAACTTACAGGTCAGGAAGAAGTGGGATGATTCAAAATACTGAAAGAAAAAATATTATTAACCAAGAATATTGTACCCAGAAAAGCTGCCCTTCGGAAATGAAGACAATATAAAAACTCCCAACCAAAGAAAAACTAAATGAGTTCATCATCACCAGACCTGTCTTACAAGAAATGATAAAATGAATTCATCAAGCTGAAAGAAAAGGGTATTAATGAGTAACACAAAAGTATCTGAAAGTATAAAACTTACTGGTAAAAGTAAGTATGCAGTCAAATTTAGCATACTCTAATACTATAATGGTGGTGTGCAAATCATTTATATCTGTAGTATGAAGGTTAAAAGCTAAAAGTAGTAAAAATAATAGCTACAATATTAACTAAGGGATATGGAATATAAAAAGATGTAAACTGTAACATCAAAAATTCAAAATAAAAGGGGATGGAGTGAAAGTGTAGAGTTTTGTGTGTGCGTGTGATCAAAGGTAAGTTGTTAGCTTAAAATAACCTTCATAAGATTTTTGGTCAACCTTTTGGGAACCACAAGACAAAAACCCATAACAGAGAAATTAAAAATGGAATTAAAGGAATCAAAACATACTACTAGCAAAAAAAATCACTTAATCACAAAGAAAGATAGTAAGAGAGGAAGAAAAGATCTACAAAAAGAAAGGCAATTAACAAAATGGAAATAATAAGTCCTAACCCAATAATTAGTCCTAATAATAAGTCCTAACTCAATAATTACCTTGAATGTGAATTGATTCAATTCTACAACCAAAAGACACAGAATGGATAAATGATACAAAACCAAAACCAATTATATGCTACCTAAAAGAGATTCACTTCACCTATAAGGACACACAGTGAAGAGATCTAAAAACATATTCTTCACAAATGGAAACTAAAAGAAAGTAAAAGTTACTTACATCAGATAAAATAGACATTAAGACAAAAACCGTAAAAAGTGCCAAGAAAGTCACTATATAATGATAAAGGATTCAACAAGAGGATACAACAATTATAAATATATATGCACCCAACATCAGAGCAGCTAAATATATAAAGCAAATATTAATAGTTTTGAAGGAAGAGATAGATTACAATACAACAATAATAAGGAACTTCACTTTCAGCGCAGATGGAGCATCCAGACAGAAAATCCAAAAGGAAACATTGAATTTAGACTACACTCTAGACCAACTGGACCTATCAGACATAAAAAAGAACATCCTACCCAACAGTTGTAGAATACACCTTCTTCTCAACGGAACATAGAACATTCTCCAAAATAGATTAGATAATATGTTAGACCATAAAACAAGTCTTGTCAAATTTAACAAGGTTGATATAATATCAAGTATCTTTTCTGATAACAATGGTATACAACAAGAAATCAATAATGAGAAATTTGCAAAATTTACAAATTCACAGAAATTAAACAACATGTTCTTGAACAACCAA